AACCAAACGCGTCTCGAGGGTGGTGCGCATGGCGTGGTGCCACCTGCCGAGCTCCAGTGCCCAGGCTGGGGACGGTTGGAGGGTGCAGGACACCCCCCACAGCCCCTGGGGTAGCAGTTGTGGTGCCTGAGGTTTCACGGCGCACCTCAACCTTTGCCTCCAGCACAGGGTACCTCAGTTTCTGGGGACTCTGGATTGCAAACAGGTGCCCTGTACCCAGCAAAGCCCTCAAGCATGGGCTGCATCAGACTGGGCACCAACTGCAGCTGTGTCAGCCAGACCATGGAGCTCCTTAGCCCCACAAGCTACCCAGTGGCAGTGCATGTGGGAAAGTCTGGAGACGTGCAGGCAGCTACATCACCACACTCACACATACAGGTCATGTATAGAATTATTTTGGCTGAAAAAAGACCTTTAAGGTAATCAAATTCAACCATAAAGTTCAAGTCGTGCCTTCCTTGTACAAACTCAGTGGCATGCACACTCACACACAGTCACACTTGTACCTAAGTGTGGATGCACATGTTCACACATGCACATGCATTTGCACACGCATGCAGCCCTCCATAAGTAGGAAGAGGCATGAGGAGCTCCCATGAGGACCAACAGCTCCACCAACAGCAGCCATGAGAGCAACCCACCTGGCCACCCATGAAGCCAGGTCCTGGGCACTCAAGGGGACAGGGCATCCTGTTTCAGAGGTTGTTCTTGGGGATAGTCCTAGCTGCCCAGACATGACCCTAGCCCAGATCCCTGCACCCCCTGGGATGCCCGCAGCCCTCCAGGACATCTTCCAGCTCTAACCCCTGGTGACACACCCAGCCCCTCAGGGACAGCCCCAGCCTGGACCCCTGGTGACATCCCCAGCCACCTAGTGACACACACAGCCGCTCGGGGACACTTCCAGCTCGGAGCCTCAGGGACACCCTCCGCCCCCAGGGAATACCCACAGTTCAGACCCTCAGGGACACCCCTGAGCCCTAGCACACGGGGACATCCCCAGTCCCCCAGCGTCAGCTCCAGCTCAGATCCCCGGAGCCCTGGAGATACTCGCAAGCTCCCGGGGCCTCCCTCCAGCCCCGAATCCCGGGGAACACCCCAGCCCGGACGCTTGTGGACCCCCCTGGGCGTTCTGGGACCGGGCCCCGGGACCCCCGCCCAGGAGCGCGGCGCGGGCGCTGTCCATGGTGCTGCTGCAGCGCTGCCCGCCCCGGCCTCGGGCCCGGAATCCTGGAAGCATGGAATGCTTTGAGTTCGAAGGGACCTTAAAGATCATCGAGTTCCAACCCCCATGCATGGGCAGGGACACCTCCCACTAGACCAGGTTGCTCCAAGCCGGGTCTTGGACATTTCTTGGGATGGGGCTTCCACAATTTCTCTGGGCAACCTGTGCCAGGGTCTCACCAAACTCACGGAATTTCTTCCTAATTAATGTCTAACCTAAATCTACCCTCTTCCAGCCTTAATCTATTACCCCTTGCCCTCTAACTACAAGCCCGTGTGAAAAGTCCCTCCCCAGCTTTCCTGTAGCCCCTTCAGACACTGGAAGGCTGCTATGGGATCTCTAGAACAAGTGTGGTGGGCAAATGGGTGCCCTGTGCAGGGAGCTGAGACCCAGAGCTGCAGGGAGCTGAGACCCAGAGCTGCAGGGAGCTGAGATCCAGAGCTGCAGGGAGCTGAGATCCAGAGCTGCAGAGTGCTGAGTGGCAGTGAGCCCAAAAGGCAACAACAGCACCCAGTAGTCAGCAGGATTCAAACCTGCATGGGGAAATCCAAATGGATTTCTAGTCCAACTACCTGCTGCACTTGAGGGACTGTTACCATTGGAAAACACCTTCAAGATCATCAAGTCCAACTGTTAACCCAGAACTTCCAAGTCTACCACTACACCATGTCCCTCAGCACCACATCACATGTCTTTTGAACATCTCCAGGGGTGGTGACTCCACCACTTCCCTGGGCAGCCTTTTCCAGTGCCTGACAACCCCTATCAGGAAATAAATTGTTTCTAATATCTGATCTAAATCTCCCCTGGCACAGCTTAAGGCCACTTTCTCTTGTCTTTTGCTTGTCATATGGAAGAAGAGATTGACCCCCACCTCACTACGACCTCCTTTCAGGTGTTTATAGAGAGCAATGAGGTCTCCCCTTGGCCCCCTTTTCTCCAGAATAAACAACCCCAGTTCCCTCAGATGCTCCTCTTAACACTTGTGCTCCAGGCCCTTCAGCAGCTTTGTTACCCTTCCTTCAATACAGTCCAGCCCCTCAATGTCCTTCTTGTAGTGGAGGGCCCAGAACTGAACACAGGATTTGAGATGCAGCCCGACCAGTGCCCAGTGCAGGGGACAATCTCTTCCCTAGTCCTGCTGGCCACAGTATTTCTCAGAGCAGGGGCACTTGGGGACACAGAAAGGTTGCAGGAGGGAGCGAATGTTTGGGACATAGGAGAGACACTGGGGACACAAGGGATACCTGGGACCACTGCAGAAGACCCTATGGCGGCCCTGGGCCAGGTTGGTGAGAGGAACCCTGTAGGAGGCTGTGAGAGTGAGGGGGACTGTGAAAGTGGGACAGTTGCGTATGTGTGAGACTGAGTGTGTGCAGCAGGCTAGAGCAGGATTTCCCTCTGTGTGTTTGTGCTTCTGAGTGTGTCTGTGTGTGCCCCAAGCTTCAAGGTGGTCCCAGGCTGTTTGCTCTGGGGTAGGGTTGTCAGGGCATGAGACAGCTAAATCCTGGCACAGAACTCCTTCGAGCCATGGCACAACCCAGCACAGCCTGCCAAGTGGAGCCAGACTGAGATCAATGAAACCTTAATTGGGGTCTCATATCCCTTGTCACTGCCAGGCAGCACTGGCCACAGCTCATGGAGCGCTGGGACCCCGGGGGAGCCAGCAGGACACACATGGGCCCATGTTCACACTCGTTAGGCAGCTCAGGGGGTGATGTTTGTTGCCATGCTCCAAGGGGGACTCAGGAACACAGCTGCTGTCACCTGAGTAACCAGCCCTGATCGATGCCTGCTTCCTGCCTCCTGCAGGGACTGTAATTGAGCAGGAGGGAGGAGACAGAGGATGCGGGACGATCCAGCCTAGCAGGAGAAGTGCTGAATCTAGCTTCAGCACCCAGCTGGGCACAGGTGCCTGTGGAATCATTGTGCCACCATGGACTCCAGGGATGAGGACAAGGTCGATGGCCTCTTCTCAGCCCCAAGGAGCAGGGGGCAGATTTCCTGGGCGCTGTGTTAGACTGTGGGCTGCCAGCCCTGTAGCTTCAGCCCCACTCCAAGGCTCACAGGCTGGATGGGATCCTAAAGGGTGGGTGTTCCCCAAACCCAAATCCCAGTGCTGGAGTCCCAGGACTACGGGGATTTGTCACCTTGGGGAGGGGGGTGATCTGCAACCCTCTAGCATGGGAACCACGTATCACCCTGACTGCATAAAGTCAGTACCCTCTAAAGACAGATTAGCCCTATGTGTCCCGCCCCCAGCCCCTTCTTCCTTCCACAGCCACTTCTGCTAATGCAGCTGTTTCTAATTGCTGTCTTTGTGGAACAAAGTGAAGATCTTCTCCTCTGAAGATCCCCCTTCCACAGCCCAGCTATTGATCGCTGGGGAAAAAAGGCAGAGCACACAGAGCTGCTCTGAGCCTGATCCTGCTCCTACTGCTTGAGTGCTCTGCACAGCTCCTCCAGGGAGATCTGGGGGGCCATACGGGTTGCCTGGGACCTGGGCTGCCTCAGAGCTCCCTCTTGCAGCCTGTCAGCCCTGCACAACTACCTGTAGCAACACTTCTACAAGTAAAAAGCTTTTCCAGGGCACAGCAGGGTTTGGTCTCAGCAAAGGGCACTGGAAGGGTCCCCGGAGCCATCCAGCAGCCATTGCTAGCCGTGCTAACAAAGTACTCACTCTTAGCAAATGGGTTTGGCCTCGGCTGCAGGGAACATCCCAAGGCTTTTCGGAAACTCCTCGACTTTTCCCTCTGCAGCTTGGGAAGTCTCTGGGCCTTCTTCCCCGTGGTGGATGCTGCTACCATTAATTAACCTCATTCCTCCGTGAGATCCCTGTGTCAGCTGCAGGCAGCGGTG